CTGTTTCTTGTGATATAGCATGCATTTGTGAGCACATAAGAAACTAAGAAACAGCTGGATATGCAGAACATACTGTAGATATCCAGTTTTACAATTGTTCTTATGGGGTCAGTGGTATTTTGGACATTTAATGATGTCAATGGTGTAATTAAGAGGATAGGACTGTGATGTTAACCTCTGTTTCTCTAAGTACTGGATTTAGGACCTGTTAAAATCTTATAGAAGCATTTGTCTTGAGAGCAGTGTTCCTTTAATAATCCACCGAATAGGACTCCCAAGAGACATATAGTTTGTGTCTGCACACAAGAGCGTTGCTGCTGAACTAGAGATTCCTAAAGGGTTTCACCAGTACAATTAAATTTAGTACTCTGCTATGGATTTTTTCTGTTTATATTCTAATTAAGATAACCAGAAAGTCAAAGGGCAACAAGGTAACTCTGAATCTGTAAGGAAAAAATTATTTCAAGGAAATCTCTCCATTCATATAGAAATCACATCTCATGCAAAGCAGTCTATGCAAATAATTCAATGATGTCCAATAAAACATTGAAATAAGCACTCAGGCTTTTTGGGAATAATCATAATCATAATCAGCAAACAATGCCTGAACTAACTAAATTCATGCAAAAGTGATATTAAAATAATTTAAATGCAAATTGTGATACCAGAATATTTTAGTTTCTAAAGAGCATTTGATGCCAAATAGATGATTATTATACATAATAATACACATGAGTTTTAAAGTAAAATGTATTAAAGAGTAGCAAGTGGTTTCTGAAACTTAAATATACTGTTTCATGTCATATTTCCTACAATTAAGTGATGTACTCATGTATTTTAATTTAAATATATTTTAATTCCTAACACTCTGATATCCTTTTACTGTAAATGTACACTTTTATTGTCCAACAGGGTCAGTCTGAAATATTGTCCAAATACAGTACCTCTGATATTTCATTGAATTCTGCTTAAAGTGTGGGAGGAGACACAAAGAAACGACTTGTTGATATGTATGAGGAAGAAAAGAAAAATATATTATCTAAAGCATATATAAATGAGAGAGAATTTTCAGTGAACAAAAAAGAACCACAAATTTCAACACTGAAATAAGAAGCTAGGTGTATCACAAGCTGCAGTCTTTAATATTTTCTCTCCTTTACATTAATGCAAAACATAGGCATTACATATAACTTACAAGTGTGTTCTCCTTGAACAATTAACAACAAAATATTTCAGTTTTATTGTATTTAGGCATTATTTTATATTTAATTGTCAGATTTTTGTTATTGTAGAACCTTTGCCTTAACTCACTGCAAGAATGAATGTGTTAAGTAAGGTGATAATTGGTACATTAACCTGGCTGTGTTTCCAAAGAGAACACAGCTGCTTATTAGTCCTGGTGTGCAAATCAATGCTCTGTTCTTCAAAAGCTGGAACAGTACATTTCTCAGAACACAGGGTACAAGCAGGCAACTGAACTGAAAATAGTAAGGATTATTCTGTAAATACAATTTAACGTGCGAGATCGAATTTTGTCTTCTTCTTCATGGTAGTCTGTTTGAGAAAGTTGATGAGTACAAAAAAAGTCAGCAAATGTATTACAGTAGGAGTAAAGTAAACTGAAAGATTTGTTATTGTTGAGAGAAAACGACAGTGGTGTCTGAGGTATTTCACAGTTATTGAAATAATCGAGTCTTTTAGGCCTGTGTCTGTCTGTGTACTTAATTTACTGTGCTCTTAATTTCCAAAAAGAGACTTAAGGGAGGAGAAACCTCTTAGACGTTTATTTAACTAACGATAATCTTTTAAAAATATTCCTTTTTTAATCCACAGAGAGAGAAAATTCTGCCAAACATCCTTCATACAACATAATGTAAATTAGTTCCTATTCTGGAGAACTAGTGTTTCAAGGAAGCTTGTAACATTAAAGTTTACCAGTTACATTAATATTTATGTGCTTGTAATTTTACTTCACAAACATACTCCATGTAAATGTATTGGTACAACTTAGGACCTCTTAAGAGACTGGCAGTTCAGCCCCCCCAGTTTTCCTCAATTTTAACTTTTATCAGTGTTAACTTGCAACAGCTGAATTTCTCCACCATGGGTATCTTATTTATTAGTGCTGAGCACAGATGAAGCATGGCTCTGAGACTTGATAATCCATAATTCACATATCTGCACTGTTTTGTTTTAAAGGTCAAGTGATGTAAAATACATTGTGACCTTTTTATATCGGTGAAAATTGTATGGCATAATAACTTTTACAGCCCTGTTTCGCACGATCAATGTTTTATGATGCTCTGTTTAGAGATCTTAAATCACAGATTTTGATGATATAAAAAAGAAAGCATTTTGTGTGTGAGGTTTTGTTGTGAAGTTTCTGTAATCATGAGTTACATTAATGATCTGGTTAGTTGAATAGTTAGATTACACATATTGAGTTAGCAAAGGCAAAGTGAAATCCTTTGTGTGTGCAAAGAGTATATTATGGAAATACTCATATCAACATGACACTATTAGCTTTTGCAAGTATACAGTATATAATAATATATGTAGCATGATCCAGTGATTTTTGGTGCTAATGACTTAAATTGACTTAAACCTGTTAACTTTTCTTGACTAAGTTCACAATTGTCCATATTTGACAATGTGTAGTGTACTGAAGCGATTTTTCTAATCACCAATGCAGAGCATGAACCACTGAATTTAAGTTGCTTTAACAAAGGAAACAGTAAATTGTAGCTGCGATGAAGTTTTCAAATTCTGATGTTAATCTGGCATGTCATGTAGGTTTAAAGAAAATGAAAAATTACTCCCCTAATAATTTTGATAATAAATTGGTGCTTGTGCATGTGATTCAGTCAGACAGGAGTGTGTACAGTATTTCAGTCAGGAGAGTTCCAGTAGTAAAAAGAAGTACTGCAGAGTGGTTAAAAACTTTGGTATTACAAAATAAATGTGAGATCAAAGTAACCTAATATACTGTATCTGAACCTATGTTCTGGTGTATGGTACTAATAAAATCCTGAGTTAAGCAATACTAAGCCTACAATCCTTCTTGAAAAAAAAAGATCAAGAGCTTCATGAAATCTAATTGAAGAAGGAACGTCAAGCCCCCTGCATATCGGTTCTTTAGTGCAGAGAATTAAGTCCTTTAGTGCAGAATTTCAGGAGGTAGCCTAACTTCTAAGCTTCCCCATTTCCATTCTCCAATGCATAAATATCTTGCTTGCTGAGTTCCCCTATCTGTTTCCATCTCACACCCTTCTTCCACTGCACCTTACCCTTGCAGCAGCTCCCTAGCTCATTCTTAATGAAGAGAGCGGGAGTCCTGTCAGTCTCCTCCTCACATGCAGCCCATTCCCTCAGTCAGGCGAGTGACTGCAAATCAGAATTTTAATACAGTTAATCACTACATCTAATTAATTAGAATTTGGCCAAACTGCTGAAAGAGGTACTATGATTTGAATAATCAGGTTTGACCAATGGGCTCTGCTTGTTTGTACCTTTTTTTCATCTTGATCTTCTCAAAGTTTCTTTGCCATTCATTATAGTTTTTGCTTTTGTTCATTTTTTTAGGGTGGTTTTGCTAACTTGAGCATGAACTTAAACAGGTATAGTATTTTGCCACAGGGTGAAAAAGTGAAAAGTTTTTTAATTTAACGAAGTTTGAAAAAGTGAAGATACTGTTGTACACTGTGCATTGTGACGGAAGCGTACAATTGTGATGCATATTTAATGAGAAGTATTTGTAAACAAACCTTTGCTTTGGCTGTAGTAGCTTGGTGATTATGTCCCATTGATTGAATCAGCCTTCACATTCACAATTTCTACTGTGAACCCTAAACACAAATGTGTCAAAATGTCTATTAATTCTGGAAATATTATCCTAGGTTAGCTGAGCCAGATTGCAAATAACAAGGCTCTGTAGTTGCAATGTTAATATCCTTTTGATCCTCACAAATCCCTGTAGATTCTTTCAGATTAATTTGAAAGCATAATACTGGGTTTTCCCAAATCCTCTTTTGTGCCGCTCACAGATGCATGACGTTTGGGGACAAAAATGATTGTTTTTGTTTTGTTTTCCCTTTGATGTTTTAACATATCATAACTATTAAGCTAACAGGAGCATTTTACCAACATGAATGTTTCTGTTAAAGTCTTATTACCCTAAGTAAGTCATTTAAGCATCTGCAAAAAAACACACCTGTTATGGAGATACTCAGTAATTTAAAAAACAAACTGGCCTATATAATGTGATATACATAACTTTTTAATTCATCTGATATCTTTATATGAAGCTAAAAACACGTTGATGTACTTTATGCTGTTTTGTGTTTTATCAGAAATCTATTGAGTTAGTTATTTTAGTTAGGAGTAGTATAGTAGTAGATAGTACTTAGTAATTGCTTCTTTGTTGATTTTTTTTGCTGTAGAGCTTAAACAGATCAGGGTGGGTTTAAAGAAGGTCATTGCACTGGCTGACAAAAAGATGATTGCATTTTTTAAAATCTTATGGTACATCCCTGATGATTTTCAAAATGTAGAACTGACATTTTGTACTCCTGTTCCCAAAATAGGAAAAACCAGCTGCTAATCAACATTGGTATGATTCTCATTTAAGCATACCTGAAAATGTCCTGTCTCCTGATAGTTCTCCATACATTGATATTTTTCTTATTCTGCATTTAATACACAGATGTCTCCAGGAAAAATGAGTTGGATAATGAAACAAATGCTACATAGGGTAAAATAAAAATTTTAGAGTCAGATAAATTATATTTTAATAGAATTGTATTTTAATAATTATAATCTTAATAAACATATGTCCATTAGAGGAAATGCTGGTTTCAGTTTAAAGGTCAGATCCATTAAAAAGAAATTTGTGCTGAAAGCAAGAAAAAGCACATTAAAATATTATTTAAAATTAAGATAACATGATCAAAAAGCGTTGTTTAATGGGAACATAATTGTAACACTTGTTTTTCTTTTAACAGCCTGCCCTTACGATTTTGGGTGAATGTGATCAAGAACCCCCAGTTTGTCTTCGATATCCACAAAAGCAGCATCACAGATGCCTGCCTCTCAGTAGTAGCACAGACCTTCATGGACTCCTGCTCGACGTCAGAACACCGGCTGGGCAAAGACTCACCCTCCAACAAGCTTCTATATGCCAAGGACATTCCCAGCTACAAGAGCTGGGTGGAAAGGTCAGTGCCCAGCACACATACCCCGGGAACTCACAATGAAGAGCCTATCAACAGATTTTAAAATGCTTTTGATCACTAACATTTCTTACTGTCTGACTTGTAGCTGTTAAATGTTCATAAAAGCGAAAGCTGAAACAACTACTATGAAGAATCTGACCAAGCAGTAATACTGTACATATACTGAGAAAAAGGCATCCATATCAGAGCATTGTAACCATAGGTAGCCAAATTTGTTGAAGAGGAACAATACTCAATTTGAATTGTTCATTTTTTGTTGTATCAGTTAGATATGATTTAAGCCACAACAAATAGTTCTTGTCAGACCAACAGTCTTTTCACCAAGTCAGTATCATCAACAGTATCAATGACAGCACTGAGGTCCAATAGTATAAAAATAATTAAAACAGTTATCAATCTTCAGCATATCATTAGTAACCCTAAAATGTTTCTGTTACTGTACTACACTACAATCTGACATTGGCTGAAATAGTGTCACGGACGTCCAAAGGGACTAACCGTGGGGAGCAGGAGAGCGGAAAAAGACCCATATGCATAGCGGCGAGATGGGAAAAAGGCCCGGGCTCATTAGTGCAAAGAGTTCAGGAATGCCGT